CCTGGTGTTAGACAAGCACCTAAAGGGGGTCCCCCTTTCTGCAACAGATCCACTCACAAGGAAGCATCAGGCAACCTGGGTGAGAGAGACATCCTACAAAATAGGGTGCCTGTGCTATTCCCAGGTGTCTCAGTGGTAAAGAATCTGCCTGCCAATGCAGGAGATGTGGATTCAATCCCTGAATCGGGAAGGTTCCCTGGAAAAGGAAATGGCAACCCGCTCCGTTATTCTTGCTTGGGAAATTCCATGGACAGAGCCTGGTGGGCTATAGTCCATGGGGTCGCAAAGAGTCAGACATGACTTAGCAATTGAACAACACTAACAACATGGTCATGCAAGAGACTGTCCTTGCCTTTTGGAAATACACCCTGAAGGATTGGGAGTCGGGGGCATCAGGTCTGCAACTTACTCTTAAATGATTCCAGAAAAAAATTATTGGAAAAGATAAATAACACTAACGTGTTTAATTACACGTTAACAATGGGGGAAATCCAGAGAGCTAAAAATAAATGACTGCCAAATTACCTCTCAGTTTAAAAAATTATTGTCAAGGCCAAGAGACAAGATGGAATCCTAAAGGGCCACTGACCTTGAAGTTCTAACCCAGAGCCTCCCACTCACAGCTCTGTGGCTCAGGCAAGTCTCATCAGCTGTGGCTGGAGGGTGACAAATCCTGGGTGAGTCCGCTGGGTTTTGGAGGGTGAAGGCAGCACTTTGCAAGACCTCAGGAGCCTGACCTCTGAGGATAAAGTCTAAGCTGCCCTCCTTCCCCAATGAGATTTTTTTTTTTTAAGTCTTTCAGTAAAGGAAACTACGTCAGGCATTATCATAGGGCCCCAGGGGCATGCAGGGACTTCTTGGGTACTTGCCTGCATGCATGACTCTCTCCAGCCTCCTGCAGTGTATGGCTGCATTCAGCTCTATAGATGGCTTTTCCCACTTATCATGTCCTACCACTTAAAAAATATATATTACTTGTAGAGTTCATGGCCCGTATTTAACAGCATAACGCTTCCAGGTGGGGTATAGTCTATAACTTACTGATCCCCTATTTTTTGGACATTAAGGTTGCTTTCAAATTGTCATCACTGGCTAACAGTGCCACGCAAACTCCTTTGTACATCCGGCTTTGCATGTCATTTGGTTGATCTCCTTGGACTAGATCCCTATAATAGGATTTCTGGGATCAAGGGGTATGAACCAAATACTTTCTACATGGATTATTCCAATTTACATGGCCAAAAATAATTAGGAAAACACCAGTTTCATCTGCATATCACATTAATATCCTGCCTTACTACTTTTTTCCTTCTAATTTAAAGAGAAAATGGTACTTCTTTGTTATTGCTTGTATTGAGTATTCACGCTTTTACTATTTTGTCAGAATGTCCTCTGTCCATTTCTAAAGATATTTGTCAGTTTTCTTTGAAAAAATCAACTCATAAGAACTCTTTAGAGAATAGAGATTGACCTTTTCTATATTCATATTTTAAAATATTTTTGGAGACTGGAAGGTCTGAAGAAGAGGACTGATTTCCAGTCATTTGACAGAGTTAACGACTGGGTCACTGTGTAACCTGAGTCTGAAGATGAGACTTCCCACTGCCAAGAGGTCCTTGTTTGTGGAGGTAATAGAATTCCTATTGAGCTATTTCAAATCCTAAAAGATGATGCTGTTAAAGTGCTGCACTCAATATGCCAGCAAACTTGGAAAACTCAGCAGTGGCAACAGGACTGGAAAAGGTCAGTGTTCATTCCAATCCCAAAGAAAGGCAATCCCAAAGACTCTTCAAACTACCACACAATTGTACTCATCTCATACACTAGCAAAGTAATCCTCAAAATTCTCCAAGCCAGGCTTCAACAGTATGTGAACTGAGAACTTCCAGATGTTCAAGCTGGATTTAGAAAAGACAGGAACCAGAAATCAAATTGCCAACATCTGCTGGATCATAGAAAAAGCAAGAGAATTCCACAAAAATATCGACTTCTGCTTCACTGACTACACTAAAGCCTTTGACTATGTGGATCACGACAAACTGTGCAAAAGTCTTCAAGGGATGGGAATACCAGACTACCTTACCTGCCTCCTGAGAAATCTGTATGCAGGTCAAGAAGCAACAGCTAGAACTGGACATGGAACAACAGGCTGGTTTCAAATTGGGAAAGGAGTACATCAAGGTTGTATATTGTCACGCTGCTTATTTAACTTACATAAAGAGTACATCATACGAAATGCCAGACTGGATGAAGCACAAGCTGGAATCAAGATTGCCGGGAGAAATATCAATAACCTCAGATATACAGATGACACCACCCTTATGGCAGAAAGCGAAGAGGAACTGAAGAGCCTCTTGATGAAAGTGAAAGAGGAGAGTGAAAAAGCTGGTTTAAAACTCAACATTCAAAAAACGAAGATCATGGCATCCGGTCCCATCACTTCACAGCAAATAGATGGAGAAACAATGGAAACAGTGAAAGACTTATTTTCTTGGGCTCCAAAATCACAGCAGATGGCAACTGCAGCCATGGAATTAAAAGACACTTGCTCCTTGGAAGAAAAGCTATGACCAACCTAGGCAGCATATAAAAAAAGCAGAGACATTACTTTGCCTACAAAGGTCCATATAGTCAAAGATATGGTTTTTCCTGAAGTCATGTATGGATGGGAGTGTTGGACTATAAAGAAAGCTGAGCACCAAAGAACTGATGTTTTTGAACTGTGGTGCCAAAGAAGACTTAAGCGTCCCTTGGATAGCAAGGGGATCAAACCATCAATCCTAAAGGAAATCAGTCCTAAATATTCACTGAAGGACTGACGCTAAAGCTGAAATTCCAATACTTTGGCCACCTCATGCTAAGAACTAACTCACTGGAAAAGACCCTGATGCTGGGAAAGATTGAAGGCAGGAGGAGAAGGGACGACAGAGGATGAGAAGGGATGACAGAGGATGAGATGGCTGGATGGCATCACCAACTTAATGGACATGAGTTTGAGCAAGCTCCGGGAGTTGGTGATGGACAAAGAAGCCTGGCGTGCTGCAGTCCATGGGGTCACAGAGAGTCGGACACGACTGAGTGACTGAACTGAACTGAAGAGGTCGTTCAGCAGCCATAAATTAATCCTTCAAAGAAAGACACTGAAGAGTCCTTAGCAATATCGTCTGGGAGGATCCAGGTCAATACATGAACCTGCTGGACAGGTTTTTACCAATTTTTAGACTAGCAAAGGGAGTGCTAATTTCTGGAAGAGAAAAAATTGTCAAAGTCCCTTTGACAGGAAAAATTTCTTTTTTCTTTTAAGAAGAAAGTAGATAGGGACTTCTCTGGTGGTCCAGTAGTTAAGAATCCACCTTCCAATGCAGGAGACTTGGGTTCGAACCCTGGTGAGGTAACTAAACTACCACAACTATTGAGCCTGTGCACTGCAACTGTAGACTGAATGTAGCCATGTATATATAAAGTAGGGGGATCACATACAACAGACAAGAGGAACAATCTGCTTCCTTATAGCCACAGAAGGACACACAGGCTTTCTTGAGAGGCTTTCCCTAAGCATCACAGAAGTGAAAAGAAAGGTTCTTAGGGAATGTGTCTTTTCTATAGAAGCTGCACAGGTTCTCTTTATCACTTAAAAAATACATTGTATTCAGTACTTTTCAAAAGAGGGGAGGAAAAGAGAAGAGAACCTTGCAAAGAAAGTCTTGGGCACCTTCCCAGGTACACTTGAGCTCCACGCTGCCCACACTCAACCAGCCTCCCAAGAACAGGGTCCCAGAAATGGATGCAGAGATCCGGTGGGACAGAGAGAAAGGAAAGGTCACCCCCTCTCTGTGGATTTCTGCAGCACCTGACCCTGTCTGAATGGCTCACTGCAAACATTTTGACTTGAACAGCTGAGAAGCAGGCCATTTAATTTCCCAGGGACCAGCTGGCCTCCCTCCAACAGCCGTGAGTCCTGGAGGTCAAGTGACTCTTGCAGGCTTGTGACCTCACTGTTGTGACACCCAGGTGACTTGTCTCTACAAAAGTGCTGACCATCCTCTGTCCCTTGGAAAGAACTCAAGTATTTAACAGAGAGGACCTATAATTAGGGCAGCATTTGGTGCTCTTATTTGGAGGAGGGAGAAGAGGAAAGAAGCTCTATAAAATTCCTGCCGTGGGTTCAGCAGAGGACCTCACCAGATGTTTGAACCCTGGGATTACACTGGAAAGGGGCCAACCTTGGTTCACAGGTGAGAGCTAGCTGGATGAGACACTACAATGCCAGGGCAGGACAAGGCCTTGGTTCTCGCTACTCAGAGACTCCAGGCAGCTGGCAGCTGTCTTCCAGACCAGCCTCTGGCTCTGACCTCAATTTCAGAGCTGCTGAACGCTGGAAAGAAAGATTATCTAGAACACAGATAACAAGAGATTGGTGCCTGAGGTTTAGAGATGAGTAAAGATAAAATAAACAAGACTGTCCTTCCTAAATTTTAGCGCCGAGGCAGAGGGTTGGGTGGAGGGCAGCCTGAGAGTGGCCACATGAACCACATGTACTTTTCCATCCTGGGGCACCTAACTCATCTCTCAGGTGCCTGCCCCCATGCCCACCGGCAGCAGAGATGGCCAGAACACAGTGAAACAGGAGGCCAAAGGTCCAGAGTGGCCTCACCAGCTCTCCAGGTGCTTCCAAGTTACCAGGGTCTGGCTCTGAGGGTGAGCTCTAGTCGCCCACGCTCCAGGGCCTGCGCTGAGGCACCCACCTCCCTGGGAGGCTTGAGCTGGGGCCACCTCAAAGGGACGCCCCCTGCGGCGATATACAGAACTAGTTCATCAAGACCGTCATTCCGCTGACCCAGGGCTGTCCCGGGACATGAGCAGACACTGCCGGCTGAGTGGCCGGTCAGAGGTCCGACCAAGACACGTGGCCCTGAGCGTGGCGAGGGCCACAGGGACAGCACACAGGATCCGGGCAGGGATCAGGGAACCTGAAGGAAAGCGGCGTCGCCGCCACCCACCTGACGACATGGAAAGTCCAGAGCAGGTGGCCAGTCTCCGGCCCGCGCGCTGTGCGCACAATGCTGAGATACAGGTAGAGGGCGATGGCCACCGTCCAGAAGAAGGAGCTGGTGTTGGCGAAGGTGGAGAGCGCGCCCTGCAGCACGCAGTCCCACGAGGAGTCCTCGAAGTCCTGCAGGACCCCGTAGAAGTAAGAGGCGGCCGAGAGCAGGTCGGCCAGGGACAGGAAGAGCAGCAGGCGCCGCGCCAGGCTGCGCAGGTCGGGCCACAGGGCGTGCGTGGTTATCAGCAGGCCCGAGCCCACAGCGGAGAGCACGCACGACAGAAGCACCACGGCGCGCTCCGACGGCACCAGCACGGTGGGCGGCGGGGGAGGTGGCATGGCCGGGCGCAGAGAGGGTTGGGATCGGGGCTCCGCGTGTGGCCGCCGCCGCAGCTGTCTGGGCACGGACCTGCCAGCCGCTAGCGTCCCAGAGTCCGCCCCGCCCGCGTCCGGCCCCTCCCGCGTCTGGCCCCTCCCGAGCTCTCGGGGCCCGCGGCCCACGCCCCGCCCCTACCCCTAGGCCCCGCCCCTACCCTACCACGCCCCCGCGACCTCCACACTCCTCCCCGTAGCCCCCACGCCAAGACAGCGGGTGCGCCCCGCCCCCGCCCTGACGCCACACCCCTTCGTCCTCAAGCCCCGCCCCATGGCCCCCAAGTCCGGACTGCGGACCCGCGTCGGCCCCTAGACTGTCCCACGAGCCCCACCCTGTCCCCGGCGCGCGCGCCCCTAAGGCTGCCCGACAGCTCCGCAGCACGCTCCGCAAGTCCCCGCCGTTCTCCTCACACCACACCGGTGGTACCCTGCATGATCCGGCCTGCAGGCCGCAGGTCTGCCGGACTCCCCACTCAGAGCTGGAGTCCTGGGGAGGGATGCATTAGCAATATTTTTAGGGCTAATATTTCCTTCCTTTTTTACTGCCAGCCTGTGTACGGGGGAGGGGGGCTGGTGAGGGGGCAGTGGTATGTTGGAGGGAGGGTTGGAGGCATTCTTTCCACTGGTAACAAAAGCAACACTCGAAGTGATTCTCGTTCTTTAAGCAGTGATAACAGAGATGGGAGTTGTTTGGAAGGGGGTGGTGGTTCCCCAGTGGGATGCTTTTAATTTTTCTTACAATGAGCACGGTCACTGATTTGGTTTTTTTCTTTTTTAAAATTTAAGTTTAGTGGGTGAAATTTTAAAGAAAGGAAACAATTTGCAATTTATTAGTTTTTTTCTGAAAATTCCATTAAAAATTGGGGTACCATTCGTGTACCATAAAATTGGCTCTCGTAAGTATGCAGTGGGCTTCCCTGGTGGCTCAGTGGTAAAGGACCCGCTTGCCAATGCAGGAGAGGCAGGTTCAATCCCTGGGCTGGAAGGATCCCCTGGAGAAGGAAATGGCAACCACTCCAATATTCTTGCCTGGGGAATACCATGGACAGAGCAGCCTGGCGGACTGTAGTCCACGCAGTCCGGAAAGAGTTGGACACAACAACTAAACACATGTACAGTGATTTATAGTGTATACACAAGTTTGTGCAAGCATCCTCCCTGTCAAATTCCACAACGTTTTCATCACCTCAGAAAGAAACACTGATGGTTCAGCAGGTGAAGAATCCGCCTGCAGTGCAGGAGACTCAGGAGACGCAGGTTTGATCCCTGGGTTGGGAAGATCCCTGGAGAAGGAAATGGCAACCCACTCCAGTACTGCTGCCTGAGAAATTCGATGGACAGGGGAGCCTGGCCGGCTGCAGTCCATAGAGCTGCAGAGAGTCAGACGCGACTGAGCACATCCCACATGGTCAAAAGAGAGGTAAGAAGTCCCAAATGGGATCACATGCTAAGCTCAAGGGACAAAACCAGGACTTCATACCTAACCTAACTGTGGTTTCAGTTAGGAATGCAGTCTTAATCAGCCATTCTGGAATTTCCTGCTTTGCAGTAGTGAACCATTGATAGACCCCTGCAGTTCCCAAAAGGAAGGCCACCTCAGCTGACATAATCAGCTCTTTGCTGACTAATTTCCTTGTCCCACCTCTTTCTGCCTGTAAAAGTCTTCTATTTTATCCGGTTCTTCAGAGCTCCTTTCTGTTTGCTAGATGGGCTGCTGCATGATTTGTGATGAGTGAATAAAGCCAGGAAGAGCTTTACCACTTACTCAGTTGAACTGGGTTTTGTAACAGTAGTCAGTCCCCATTTCTCACTCTCCCCAGCTCCTGGCAACTATTAGTCCACCTTCTGTGTCTATGGGTTTGCCTATTTTGGACATTTCACAGAGATGGAATTAAATAATAGGTGGTCTTTTGTGACTGGCTTCTTTCACTTAGCTTATTTTCAAGGTTCATCCACATTGTGGCATATATCAGTGCTTCATTTATGGCTGAATAATATTCCATTGTATGGATATCCCATATTTGTTTTTCCATTTTATCAATTGATATTCGGCTCTTATAAATAATGCTGCTGTCAACATTTATATACAAGTTTTTGTGTAAACATTTATTTTCAGTTCTCTTGGGTATATACCCAGGAGTGGAATTCCTGGGTCATTTCAGTTCAGATCAGTTGCATCCACTCTTTGTGACCCCATGGACTTCAGCACGCCAGGCTTCCCTGTCCATCACCAACTCCTGGAGCTTGCTCAAACTTATGTCCATCGAGTTGGCGATGCCATCCAACCATCTCATCCTCTGTCGTTACCTTTTCCTGCCTTCAATCTATCCCAGCATCAGGGTCTTTTCCAATGAGTCAGTTCTTCGCATCACGTGGCCAAGGTATTGGAATTTCAGCTTCAGTATCAGTCCTTCCAATGTATATTCAGGGTTGATTTCCTTTAGGATTGACTGGTTTGATCTCCTTGCAGTCCAGGGAAATTTCAAGAGTCCAGCACCATAGTTCAAAAGCATCCTAGTCCAATTCTTCCATCCATACATGACTACTGGAAAAACCATAGCTTTGACTATATGGACCTTTGTTGGCACAGTAATGTCTCTGCTTTTTTATATGCTGCCTAGGTTGGTCATAGCTTTTCTTCCAAGGAGCAGTGTCTTTTAATTCCATGGCTGCAGTCACCATCTGCCATGATTTTGGAGCCCAAGAAAATAAGTCTTTCACTGTTTCCATTGTTTCTCCATCTATTTGCCATGAAGTGATGGGACTGGATGCCATGATCTTCGTTTTTTGAATGTTGAGTTTTAAACCAGCTTTTTCACTCTCCTCTTTCACTTTCATCAAGAGGCTCTTCAGTTCCTCTTCGCTTTCTGCCATAAGGTGTCATCTGTATATCTGAGGTTATTGATATTTCTCCCGGCAATCTTGATTCCAGCTTGTGCTTCATCCAGTCTGGCATTTCGTATGATGTACTCTGCATGTAAGTTAAATAAGCAGGGTGACAATATACAACCTTGATGTACTCCTTTCCCAATTTGTAACCAGTCTATTGTTCCATGTCCGGTTCTAACTGTTGCTTCTTGACCTGCATACAGATTTCTCAGGAGGCAGGTAAGCTGGCCTTTCCTAAGGTAAATTCCCATCCCTTGAACACTTTTGCACAGTTTGTCGTGATCCACATAGTCAAAGACTTTAGTGTAGTCAGTGAGGCAGTAGATATTTTTGTGGAGTTCTCTTGCTTTTTCTATGATCCAACAGATGTTGACAATTCGATCTCTGGTTCCTCTGTCTTTTCTGGGCAATATGGTTACTCCATTTTTAACTTTTTGAGGAACTGTTAGACTTTTCCCCAAAGTGGCACCATTTTATATTCCTGCAGCAATCTATCCAGGTTCTCATTTCTGCACAGTCTCCTAACTTTGTGATTCTAACCATCCTAGAATGGCTGGTGTTTCATTGTGGTTTTGATTTGTTGTTGCTCAGTGTCCAACTCTTTGCGACCCCATAGACTGCAGCACGCCAGGCCTCCCTGTCCCTCACCATCTCCTGGAGTTTTGATTTACATTTCTCTAATTAATAATTAATAATTACATTTCTCTTTTCCTATGCTTATTGACCACCTGCATTTCCTCTTTGGGGAAATGTCTGTTCAAATCCCTTGCCTATTTTTTAAATAAGTTGCATTTTTGTTATTGAGTGGTAAGAGTTCTTTATATATTCTGGATATTAGACCTGTCAGATACATGATTTACAAAAATTTTCTCCCATTCTGTGGGTTATCTTTTCAATCTCTTGATAGTATACAAGGAAGTACAAAAGTTTTTATTTTGACAATGTTCAGTTTACCTCTTTTTTCTCCCTCTGGCTGTTCCGCTGTTGGTTTACTATCTTTGGTGTCATATCTAAGAAGCCAGTGCCTAATCCAAGTTCAGAAAGATTTACACCTATGCTCTCTTCTTCCCAGTGTAACACAGCGTTGGTTATTGTAGCTTTGCAGTAAGTTTTGAAATGAGGAAGTGTGAGTCCTGCCGTGGTGTTTTCCTTTTCACTATTATTTTAGCTGTTTGGTGTCCCTTGCAATTCAGTATCAATTTGAGAATCAGTTTTTCCATTTCTGAAAAAAAAAAAATAGGGATTGCATTGAATCTGTATGGAAATTTGGGGGGAATAATGCCCCCCAAATTAATAATATTAAATGTTCTTATCTATGACCAAGAGATGTCTTTCCTTTTATTTAGGTCATCTTTAATTTCAGTCAATGTTGTTTTATAGTTTTCAATTTACATTAGATTTGATTTTGCAAGTGACTCATAAAAGGAGATTATCATCTACATCAGTTCAGTTCAGTTCATTCGCTCAGCTGTGTTCGAGTCTTTAGATTATCTTTTTTGCATCTAACTTTTAAAGCCATTGTATTATGAACTATGCATACTGACAAGTAGTTAAAACACAGATAAACAATCTGATAAATAGTTATGAAGCAAATACCCACCAAGAAATACATTATTGGCACACCAGAAACTTCCTCCCAGGCCTATTTCTTCCTCATTGGTCATTTTCTTGCTTTTTTTTTTTTTTCATAGTGAAAACTTTTATATTTGGAATTAGCCAGCTGGACTCAGTTTAGATGATCCAAATTTTGTTGGCAACATCCAAAGCATCATAGTCAAGAGTCAGTCGAACATATGCCTTCTTCTCTCCATCAGGCCTGAGCAGAGTATTGACCTTAGCCACGTCAGTGTCATAGAGCTTCTTCACAGCCTGTTTAATTTGGTGCTTGTTGGCCTTGACATCCACAGTGAATACCAGTGTGTTGTCTTCTATTTTCTTCATGGCTGACTCGGTGGTGAGGGGGAATTTGATAGCACAGTGGTCAGGTTTGTTTCTCCTAGGGGCGCTCTTCCGAGGATATTTGGGCTGCCTCCTGAGCCGCAGTGTTTTGGGCCGCCGGAAGGTGGGTGACGTCC